TATTTTAATTTTAATTGACTACAAAGCTACAAAGATTTATAAGTATTAATTAAAAAAATAGATAAAAATTATTAAATTAGATTCAAATGATGTTTTAATACAAACGATAATTTTAAAATCTTGCCCCAATCCTTAACATCTTATGACTACGTAATTAAAGTTGTCAAAACGACTCTTTGTTTGTGAGCAACTCGCATTCAACTCGCTAAGCAAACGAGTCGAACACGAACACACCTTTTGAGCTCGAAATATAAACGAGCCGCCCACGGGCGACCGGCAGAGCGCCTGCAGAGTCTCGCGGTTGGTGCGCCACAATGGCTAGTTGGTGATTGTCTCACAATGATGGGGCCCAAGAGCTCTGAAGAGCTTGGAGCTCTTCAGCTTTCTCCTCCTGTTTTAGATCCTCTTTCATGAATAGAGTTAAAGTTTATTTATATATTTTGTGAGTGACAAGCTCTGCATATATCACATGAATTCGGACAATTCAATCAGATGACCCAAAACAATCCTTTTGATGATATGTTGCTTTATGAACATTTAAGTGTCTTAATGATGTTATAATTATGTGATATTGGGGCTAAATGAATTCGGCTCGTCGAGACGATCAAATTAACTATAAATATGTCTGATTTAGAAATCATTTGATCTCCAATATATATTTCAAAATTTCCAATTATATTTCAAGTGCATGATCTGAACCAACCTTGACTTAAGTTGGATCATTTCTGCATCTGATTCATCTCCCCTAGAACTTGCGTTTGATCATAAATTAGAGAGGAGGTGTTCCCAACTTTGATTTTTAAAACTTTGAGTTAAAATGTGACCCAAAATTCATGCAGATCAATATTATCTTTTGGGAATGTATCAAAATACATAATAAATTTATATTAAATAAGCAAACATGCAAGTCATATCCAACCAAAATTTTAATCAAGTAATATACAACTTATTATCAAACTTAATATCAAGCTTTTAACAAGTTCCTTTGAACAAAAAAAAAATGCTCATTAACATAATAAAGGAGTTGAACTCTGTTCGATTTTTTTCATTAAGCTTTCAAACTATTAAAAAGTGATAAAATTTATTTAATCACTAACTCCGAACAAATTTGAACAAAGCATCAATCAAGCCTTGTTCCAGCTGTTCATTGAGTACAAGTATGAACTAGCATTAACAAGTTTCAATAAAAGTATATATAAACTCTACAAATATCTTCTCCTTCCCCTACCCTACACATTTTTTAGAGGAATTTGAGAGGAAGAAAAATAGATAGTGAAAGAGAACTCAGTAGATCCATATAGATAAAAATTCATGTTTACAAGCTTAACAGTACAGACTCTACATACAAAATTTCCCTCGCAGCTAAGTAGCATACACGGTATTCACATAACACACACAAAACCATGTTAACAGACTAATATGCATCTTGTTAACAGACTAATGTGCCTCTTAAGTTTCCATAGTTTGATCTACATGAGGACGTATGGTCTCATGATCTGAAACTTCTACTATTTTGGTGCTTGCTGATATCCATGGCTGATAAGCACCTTCATGGCACAAATTCTGCAAATGCAATAGCCATCATTAACAACAACGAAGCTCTGGCAGTCAGATAATGCTTATTTTTTGCAAATTTTGTATTAAGAAATTTTGATTGAATGAAATGATTAGAAGTGGACAAAAAAAAAGCCACCTTCAACCAAAAAAATAATCCACGCAGAAGGTTCAGTTGCTGCTGAGGATCAGAAATCTGCAATTTTCTTGCAAGATCTGCAAATAAGACACGGATTCATAAAGTTATCTTTTTTTAGTTTTGCTATTTCAAGCTTAATCAAAAGACCAGATTTGAAACATTGATTTTAACTTAAATATACATTTTATCCTAAGGATTATCTGCAATCTTAAGCTTCATGACATCTAAACACTAAAAAAGTAATCCATCATACTGTTACAATTGAGGTAATTAATTATTTTCACCTGGAAAATGATCAAGATACGAAAAACCCATTTGCCTCGTGCTGAATGATTTACTCTGATTACGAAGATCCTTGTGCCTCAGCACTGGTTTACGGAAGGTCGCGTGCTTCCAAAGCACCTCATGTTCTTGCTCGTCATATGGCTTGCTAAGAACAACCACAAGCTCCAAAGCAAATGGAGATGAAATGCAGGAGGGAAAAGGCACTATGGACATCTCATCAGCTTCACAAATCTGACATTTTGTTTTTTGCAGAAATAAAAAGTGTCAGCAGCTCCTGTTCTAAGAAAATGAGAATTGTAAAGAAAAAGATAGGGAAATTTACATACATACTTTACATATCTACCGCCTAAAATTTGATATTTACATTTATAACACTTCGGTGTCATGAACTTATGCATGAGAGGGTGTACTCACTTTTAAGAAGTTAATAGTAATGGTATTTTCTAGTTTAGAGTACCATGTACGTAACTATGAAGGTTCAGAAGTTAGACATGCTGATGCATAAGAATTATACGGTATGTATGTAAATGCCCCAAAAAAAAATGTAGTGTAAGAAATGCTGTGCTTAAATGTTGATTGAAGCACTTGAAAAGAATAAAAATTGAACTTACAACTACATCTGGGGAAAGATTACTCTCATACAACACGATTTCCTGGTTGTCAGAGCAAATAGTGCCTTCGTTTGCTGGCATAGAAGCCGGTGGTTTGGCGCTCTCAAATGATTGTAACGGCAAAGGCCGCCGATCATCAAAACAAGTTCCTTTAGTTGCCACCAATGTTTCATCTCCCTCATAAATGACTCTAATGGAATTATACTCCAAAACCATCAAACCATCTTTAATTTTCAAGTAACTCAGAAATTCTTGATAACTTTCATCAACCAGATTGCTTTCTGTTTGGTTCATAAAAGATCTAGCAGATAAATCAATAGACACATTCCCTAAGCGCCGGAACTCTTTGTTATTGTTAACTACAAGCATGTTATCAACAATCCCGTTAAATTGTGCCTCTGAGTTCCTACAAATTCGCCTTTTTTTAGTTTTATTTCGTCCCGTTGCAGCGAAGCTACAATATCCTGAGCTTATGGGAGCATCTAATTGTAGGACATCAGATAATCCATCCGGGTTTTCATATTTTACAAATACGGGAAAGCCATTATTGCCGTCCTCCATTTCTAGAATATAGGATTTCCCATCCTTTCTCAAGTGCTCCAAAAACATTTTATACGCGGGATCCACATTGTCTGCTGGAAAATAATTATCTCTTGAACCATTTAAGAAGCTCCCATGGCCATTACCTTTCAACTTCATCACCATTTTAAACAAGTTTAAGATAATTATAGAGTTCTAAGAGATAGAACCTGCTTCTGTCTGATTAACTCTTCCTATGGACAAATCTTTTCAACACTTTCAGTGTCTTCTAACGAATTTATATCAAATAAGAGTAATCACTGAGTTGGCCAATGCCATAATCACCATTTGAAGCTACCTCTTAAGCATTTCCTAGTTTAAATAATCATTGATTTCATATCAGTTCCAGTTCCAATAGAAATTAGGAAATATCTTCAGCAGATTGGATTTAATCTACTTCAAGAACAATATTCTGGCTGACAATATAACCAATTCATCGATTAGAACATTTTGTGTCAATAAATGCAATCAAAGTAGAACAAAAATTAAATAAAACATTTCTAATGATATTGGAAGGAAAGAGTTGCAAAAACCGAGAAGCCATGCAGCAAAGACAACATGGATGATTCAACTATTCCAAGTTAGATAAATAATGAAAAAAAAGTTCAATTTAGAATAAAATTTCTCGGAAAATTTACATATTAGAAATGAGATTCTCCAAGCAGATTCTCCCTGCATCTTTCTGCAAGGTAAGACACTCCTTACATTCATTATTTCTACTAAAAGCAGCCTTTTTACTAAATATAAGACATACAGACTCCGGAAGAAAAAAAATAAAAATAAAAATCCTCGCTTTATTTGTGATCCCCAAGCATTTCGGATGAAGCACATTCATCATCTATCCCCAGAATGCTCAAACCCTACTATTACTTCCGCCAAAAAAAAGAAAAAAGAGGAGCGAAATCTGCAGCTAATTCCAGTTCAACAATTTGCCAAAAGAAACCGACCACAAAGCATGCAAGAACCCATAACGAATTGAGAATTGACGCAGAATTACGATATTAGATCAAACACAGGATATAAAAAAGAAATTTTTTTTTTTTCAGTGCTGTCACAGAACGCAGAAAAGAAAAACAAAGACCCAAACTTTAACCTAATAGACTCCGGCATCTTCGTTTTAGCAAAAACATACTGAGAGCAGCGAAACAACAACCCAGTTGAGAATCTAAGAGGAGGGCGAGAAGAACTTTGTCGCCGCATTGTCTCCGTGACTTCCCCTGGCCTCAAAAATCTGCGAAAGAGAGAATCCCCAACCAGGCGGCAGGCAAAGCGGCGGGTACAATAAGGTTTTGGGGTTTATCGTAGTTTTGTTTTTCGCTTTTTTTTTTTTAAATAAAAATTAAATAAATGCTAAATTCCCATGGATTTACATATCAAATAATACTCTTTCCATTTGGTATTAAGAACCGAATAAAAAAAAAATCAAAAACTTAGCTTTGTTACGAACCGAATAAAAAAAAAATCAAAAACTTAGCTTTGGGTCATATTTTATACAACAAACACGACAACAACAAAGCCTTAATCCCATTACGTGGGGTCGGCTATATGAATCCTTTTTCTCCATTGCGTCCTATTTAGTGGGATATTTTCATTTAGTTCTAATAAATTAAGATCATTTTTAATGCAATAAGCCCAAGTCTTCCTAGATCTACTTCTGTCTTTCTTAACACAAGTTGAATCTAAAATAACTACTCTCCTAATTGGATCATCAGATGGTCGATGTTTAATGTGACCAAATCATCTAAGACGACTTTCTCTAATTTTGCCCGTCATATTTAAAATTAATATAAAATATGGATCATGCCCTCAAAATGTTTTGCTAACATGGTCCTTCTCGCCCTACTAGATTCTCAAGTGGGTTTGTGTTTCACTACTCTAAGTACATTTTGCTTGTACGGAGACGCTGAAATCTGCTAGGTTAAAGTTTAGTTCTTGGTTTTGCTTGTCTGCATTCTTTGACTACACATAAAAAAATAATTCTTTTATATCCTGTGTTGGATCTAATATCATCATTTGTGTCAAGTTTAGGGTTTAGGATGGGTTCTTGCATGTTGTGTGGCTGGTTTCCTTGAGCTGAATTGTTGTATTGGAATTAGTTGCAGATTACCTTGTTTTTTTTTTTTCGGGTGAAGTAATTGTAGGGTTGGATATATAAAATATGTACATTAGAAATTTATTACACAAATCTCGAGGAGATTCAACAAGCTAAGAGATAGAGAAGTACCACTAAGGAGATCCCACTGACGGGAGACCATATGAGCCACTTACTTGACCAGATGCAACCCATCTGAATCGAAGCTGAAGGCCGACCAGATATAAGCCATCCGAACTGAAGACTAAACCCAAACGAGCCGAGCAAAGGCATCAATTTGCCTATCTCCACAACTCAACTTGAGAGAATAGTTTAGTGTCACCAGTCACCTCACGGGTGCTCCTGAGAATCCTCATAAGGGGCAAAGGGTCTACAACAGCATAATCAATGATTGACTCTCACGTCAAGGAATGAGTTACTTATCGGATTATAGGGATTCACCTTCTAAGTAATAGTTTAGTCTTATTATGTCGACTTAAGCTCCTCAGTCAGGGATCAATAATTGACAGCCGGACCAAAATAGCTGACCGACGAAACCAAGTCAATCCAACCTAGTCCTGTCGACCCAGTGACTATCAAGGGCCGACCAACATCCCCAATTCAACGCAGTCAAACGAGCATGTACTGTCAAACCAATACCAATTAATTTCGACCGATCGAGTAGAGGGTAGAAGAGTCGATGGCTTATATATGTAAAATGGCTAAAATATCATGTAATGCTCCTATTTAAACAAGGGAAAACAAGTAGTTACATATATTGTACTCTCCCCTTTTATAAATAAGGGATCATTTTGAGATAAAAAAACTAACCAACCATTTCCATTAATATTCATTACATCGCTTTATTCCCTTTTTATACCTTTCTCTCTTTTCTTTTAGGCTATTGCTATTTTCCCTTGATGTGTGATTCTCATGCAATTTCAAACTCAACAATACACTATTATATAAAAGTCTAGCTCCTTTTCATGTTAGCATATATTTTTACATAAACACAATCTACTAGCTTATTCTATATCTAATTTAATTTAAGTCTCATTTTAAGTTTGTTTGTTAGACAGTTAATAGGCTCTATGAAGCTTGTTCAATAAGTAAACAACTAAATAATAAAATTAAATGTATAGGTAATATAAAGCTTATTTGGCTAGTTAAGAAGCCAATATGTGTGTGGTTCATTAATTAGACCAACTAATTTGCCAGAAAATAGCTGTGTAATAATTATAATTTGAATTGAGCTTAAATTGAACTCAAATAAAACAGTAGGTACCTTTACTCCGTGCTTCCAAATTTATGAAAAAAATATTATAACCATAGTTCTTATACAAATAAGCATCAGGACTCCAAATACTGTTTGTCATGTGTGCAATTCAGCCCCACAGTGTATTGATTTTTTTAGTTTTTCTTACTAAGGGTTCTTAGACTGCACACTTGACAGACAGTGATTGGAGTTACATCAGAACTCCTTATGCAATATTTTATCTAAATTTATTATAGTGGAGTTAAGTCATGCATATAAATTGATAAATTAAATATTTGAGATACCAACAATTTAATGTAAAAATTTTAGAAAGACAAAAAAAATTGTAAAGTCAAATATAGAAAAAAAAACAATCTAAAGAACGAATATATATATATTTTAATTATGAAGTACAATTATGAAGTTTTGTCATGTAACAACGGCTTCATCTACTGTCATAGTGGTGTCATAGTGGTGCAAGTATAATAGTGTTTAAATAATGATTAAAAGATGATAGTTGAGTGAAAGTATAGTCAAAAGATGATGGTATGCGCGAGGTGATCATATGATCATAATCAATACATGATGAACGAGTAATCATAGTTAAGCGATGATAATATGGCGATAATAGTCAGGCAGTAGTAATTGCTGATTGTGGTGGTACATGTTGGTCATTTTGGTAAAGACTTGGTGTTCCTCAAATTTACAGACTCCTTTTTATTTCAAGTTCAAGTCTCATTCATATTATTGTGCGTGAGAAAAATTACGGCGTTAGAGTGATATATTAATATATTAACATTGTGCCATGATTTAACACACACATTAAAAAAACTAGTCAAGAGAAGAGACACCAAATGTTCTTATATTAAAAATCATAAATGGGAAAAATTACAAGGCCCAACACAGCTAAATTAGTTCCATTGTGTATATGTAAGCTGCAGACTTTATTCATCCTTGTAAATATAAAACAATACTATAAAAGTAGAAGTTATTGACTTGTCTCTCTTTGGATGAGTGATAAAAAAAATTGGGAAAGTAGAAATGACTCGCCCGTAGCGATAGAAGCCAATGACGGGGGTAGTATGATGGAGGTCTAACCCCAATATCGCCTACGATGGTGTTGCAGTAAGAGTGATGTCCGAGCAACAGTGGTTCAACAATAATATTTAACATTTTTTAGAAAAGGTAGGCAAGGGTGGCTTGAATAAAGACTAATTTCCAATGATCAACTTAGAATTGAGGAATCTTTAAGAAGACTAACATAAATCAACTTTTAGGATAAGAATTTAATTGGAATGTCTTTAGACATTTAACCTTGTATTATCATCCATATAATATATATATATATAATTATATAATCAGTTATTACAAGAATATATTTAATTAATATTTATGATTATTTAATGTTTTGATATACAATGCCTAATATGTATGCATGATTTGTATTCATTTGAATCTAAAATGTATTGATTGCCACGTGCTGTGATGATATTAATTTCATGACTCTATTGAATATGTGATAAAATTACTCTTTCTTGTTTTGGGAGTATTACTTACTACACATTTGTTTGTTTTAATTAATAGTAATAAAAAATGGAGTATGTTTTAGTTATTCATATTAATTAAATTGGTCATTTTGATATGATGCCATGCTTACGTTATTGTTGAATTTTTGTTCGTCTGGAGGCACTCCTAACGAATTAGAGCATTTGAACCAAAAGAAAAGGAAATGAGAGAGAGAGAGAGAGAGAGAGAGAGAGAGAGAGAGAGAGAGATACAGGGACTTGCCCCTCTAGGGCAAAAATGGGGTTTGCTCGGGCTCTTGCGATCCTTTTTATATACTCAAATATTTTTTGGTATATGGAGAGAAGTGTCAAAAATGCTACTACATGAAAAGACAATCTATTTGTAGAAGAGAGAATGCACTGAAGAAAAATTTTATTTCTAACACTGCTTTAATGAGGGTTGTACATGTTATTCTTGGATTTATACCTCTACAAGCCCGGGGCTTTGTTGTCCTTTGGCTCGGTCGACCTTTTGGATGGAGACTGTTGGTCGATCAATTCGTGTTATTCTTGGATTTATACCTCTACAAGCCTGGGGCTTTGTTGTCCTTTGGCTCGGTCGATTTGGGCAGAAGAGCCGAAATGATTAGTGATGTCTGGCGACCTTTTGGATGGAGACTGTTGGTCGATCAATTCTTTAGGCAAGGGCAGCCGACTTGACTATTGAAGATAGTCAGCTATATTGATACAGCCGACTGATATTAGCCAACCAGATGCATTGGGTTGGTCGTCAATCCTCAATTTTAACCGAGGGAAATCCTGTCACTTTAGTAAACTTAAGCTATTGAGCAAAGGATGATAATGGTTTATTGTTGAATTAGTTTGAAAGGTCTATGGCTGGTGTCAGTCGATAAATTTTTTTGGGTCGTCAGATCTCTTTTTGGCGGGTATGGATTTGCTATGCCATCCTTTCTTAGGTCGTTGGATTGCCTTGAAATTTGTGCTGATATTTTTTTTACATTTTTAGTTCTTTGATTCTTTTGTTTCTTAGAAGTTACACTGGAATAAAAACAAAAGAATTTAATGCAAAAAAGGACATAATATTTGTGATTGCTTAATAATGCAATAATTAAACTCCCCTTGAATTTTGTGCATGCGATTCTTATAAATAGAATGACATGATTTTCCCATCTTCCTCTAATTTTCTTCATTCGGTCTATCTGAATTTCGAACAGAAACATGGTTAATAAGTCATCTTCTAAAGCTGATAAGTAGAACAAAGCCGCTTACCAGAGGGCTTTCGAAGATATGGGACAAGAAACTGAATCCTGCCAGGAAGGGGATCAGAGGCAGAAAGTGTTGGTGAAGAAGCAGAAGAGATATGATCTGTAGGATTGAGTTGGTTCATTGGACTTGCTGCTTGGTCGCCTTGATGAGAAGGTGTGGACAGACGGTTTGTTGAGGGTGCTCTGAACTAAGCCGAGGTTGGGAGCAGTTGTCTGGTTTCCCTAGAGGAGACCCAAGAGGAGGTAGCCAGTAGACTTAAATCTCCAGGCTCGAGGGAACGCCAACTACAAGAAATAGAAGACTTGTTCATTCGGTCAGCCAATTTTCCTACGTTGGGGAGATGCACCTGTTGA